AATTGAGGGGGATCGGGACTATTCGACTGCGCATAATTTCACGCATGAGTTACCATGCAGACAAAAAAAAAGTTTGTGTCGTAAATTCACTTTTATTTTTTTGATTGATTAAAAATGTTAAATAATTGTATTTTTGTCACTAAAAAATTATTATCGTTATTTATATTTTCGATTTTAACAGAGTTATTAGTCTTGAAAGTGAGTGGCGATGCTTCCGGTTGGGATGAAAACAATGGTGGTGAAAATTTTATCGAAAAGAAAGCTGCTTTCTACAAATACCCGCTAGGGAATCTACTAAATTAAAATGTGATCCTCTTTTGGGTATATTTTTAAGCTACTTTCTTATCCGCCAACAGCCCCCGTCCAACAAATCAACATATTTAAGGTAAGTGAATGCAAAATTGGCAAAGAAAAATGTCTTCGTAAAACGCATGTGCCTACTCACTTGACCTTTCTGAACTTATAAAAGTTTTAAACTTATGTCAGTCTATTTGGTTTGATTTACGCTTTCAGCACACAGTTAAATCTACTATAATTTTACCCATTTGGTTATTTCAGGTGCCATTTCAGGCCTCTTATCATATTTTATCATTTATAAAAATACCAATTTCATGCTCCAACTACTGGTTTCCATGGTAACCAATATGCAATAGCAGCTATTTTTAAAAGAAAAAAATCATCTTTTGCTATGTGATATGTTATGTTTATTAGGTATCATATTATTTCTCACTATGTGTATCTGTGAAAGGCTCAAAATGACATTTCACCCAATTCACCATTTTCCCGCCAAAATTTTTGGGTTTTAAAGCTAAATATTTTCTTTTCTTTATCGGTGACCTATATTTTTTATTTGCTTATTCCTTGAAGCTATTTCAGCTTTTTGTATAACAGTTTTGGACCAAGTGTCACAGACAGGTTTTTTGATATTCCGATAAAAATATGTCAACACCTCTATTTTCCCTATCATTTCATTGAAAAATGGTCCCTTTTACATACCTGTTTAAAAGTAATATTTTGAGCTTAAATGGTCCGGGACCCCCTATTTTTTTTCGACCAATTTGATTCACTCTCTGTAAAGATTAAAATAATAAAAAATACGACACTTCTGACAGAAACTTCGAATAGGCCCGAGCCACCTTAAGTTGAGCAGTGTTGACATACTTTTAAGAGATTATCAAACAATTCAAAAAAGTATCATTGAAAATTGACAAATGAAACCAGAGCAACGCTTTTTTTTTATGTGTAATTTTTTTTTAAAGAATTGACCCGGAGGGTAAAAACAGACCCGGCAGGGAAAGGGGTAATACATAATCATTTTTGCATGGCCTAACAGATAATGTTTTTTTTTTCTCTCTCAGACTAACAAAATATTAATCAGTAACATACATTGAATTTAAAAAAAAAATCTTAAAAATCAAATTGAAAAAAATATCAACATATGAACAGGGCATGTACTTTCATCAAAGTTTATGCTATATATATCCCTCTAGTTCCTCTCCTGAAAAGTCATCATTAGATATACTGATCAGTTGGTTGCTTGAATCAAATCAGTAGCTATTTTACTTCCATCTTGCATATTGATCATCTGAAACTGGAAAAACGGCAAAAATCATGAAGGGAGAAATGCACGTATGTCTATTAGTGTGACCATATATATCTGGTGTGACATATTTTGTGAATGGGAAGTAAACCGCTAAGTAAAGGCTCTGGAGTCGGTTTCACAAAAATACTTACGACTAAGATTGATCGTAAGTCATGAACAATTCAGTATACTTACGATCAATCTTAGTCGTAAGTTTTTTTTTTTAAACCAACTCCTGTGTAATGTTTTAGTCGAATTGCTATTACTTAAACAAGGCAGTTCACAGAACAATATTTTTTTTGGTTGTTGAAATAAAGATCGTAGAAAAAATATTTATAGTCTTTTATTTGTGTAAACATCACTGTAAGAACGGCATATCCGATCGGTAGGCGGGGCTTAGAATCACAACTTACGGATACAGAACATTGTTGAATAATTCGAAGGATGTACACCTCTGAGGAGCCAAAATTTTCTAGAAATAAACTTTTTTTCTTAACCCGATTTTTGGGTTTATATGACTGTAAAAAAATAATTGGCGAAGAAAAAATCATATAGTGGTGAACTTCTTTTTTTGCTACGGCCATTTGAAAGTACCAACTTTTGATGATTTTCCCATTTTCATCAATTTTTACCCATTTTTTGGCTATTATCATGCAAAAAAATCACAGTTTCACAATTAAACTTTTTCATACTTTCACTAAAGATGAAGTGGACCAATCTGAATAAATTTAATTTTCAAAAACTATAGGTAGGTGTTAATATAAGAAAGTTTTATAAAATTTTGTTGCTTTTTCGTGTCAAATTTACCATGCTGTCAATTTTGTAATTTGGGATGTTTCTCTCTTTTTAGAACACAAAGCATATTATTCCAACTTCTTTGGTATAAATGATAGAAAACATACATATCTAAGAAATTTGAAAAGAAAAAAATTGATATGGGATGTATATGTTTCTGATAAAATCATTTCTTGTAACCCTCACCCATTTTCTCAACATTTTGGCTAATTAGACTGACTTGATTGGTTATAAAATTTGAAAATTTTATTACTCAAAAACTACCTATTGTAAATACACAATTTTTTCACAGAGTTAAGTTTGATTATAATGTTTTTTAAATTCATTGATATTTTTCACTTGTATCACATATTTTGGAAATAATTCCAGAACGAGATTTCAACGAGACTGAAACGTCAGAGGAATACATCCTTGAGACGGCGTGCACAAAGCTGAGTCCACAAACGTAACGACTTCAAATTACTTAAATCATTTACGACGTCGGCATTTTTTCTCCAGAAAACAAACGCGTAACAAAAACGCTGGACACTTAGTTTATCACATAGCTTTAAACATAAACGTTCAACATATCACTTTTTTTTCGAACAACAAAGTGCAGCAATTGCACATTCTGGAAATATAAATAAATATATGCTAAGAGCAGTGTAATGGAAATAATAAGCGACTATGTCGTGGACCCTCTTAAAAAATAGCGTTAAAAAGTCATTTCTTTAAATTGTAACATAATAGTTGTACATTAAAAAAAATCAGGTGTTCAGCCCGGGCTATCGAATCATTCCTATTTTGCAGATTTTTGTAAACCTCTTGTTATGCACATTTGAAATATCAAGTTATTTTGAAGTAAAAAAATAGCAATTACATATCTTTTTTTACCGATTCTTCATTTTCGGATATTAATCCTTCCAAATAGTACTTCTTACATATAACGAATTACATTCCAAACTCATTCAACATGGCCGTTTCTGTTTTTTTGCGGTGAATTTCGTATGACGTCATAGTTCGAATCCAAAAAATTCTATTATACGAAAATGCGGGAAAATCTGTTGAATTTGTATAAATTTTAGGTCACAAACTCGATTTTATATAGATATAAGAAGATGTGGTATGAGTGCCAATGAGACAACTCTCCATCCAAGTCAAAATTTATAAAAGTAAACCATTATAGGTCACAGTACGGTCTTCAACACGGAGCCTTGGCTCACACCGAACAGTAAGCTATAAAGGGCCCCAAAAAATTACGAGTGTAAAACCATTCAAACGGGAAAACCAACGGTCTAATCTATATAAAAAACGAAAAACGAGAAACACTTATGAACCACATCAACAAACGACAACTACTGAACATCAGATTCCTGACTTAGGACAGGTGCAAACAAATGCAGCGGGTTTAAACGTTTTAATGGTACCAAACCTTCACCTTTTTTCTGAAACAATAGTGTAACATCACAACATAGAAAGACACACTATAAAATATCAACTGAAATAGCTTAACTCAATCAAAGGACATATTAACACCATTGAACATACACTGAACAAATAAATTTGACCTATGACACAATGTAAATAAACTAAGGGAAGAATAATAAAAGTAACATGTTATATCGGTAAGAAATGTTAAACAGTTAAAGAAAAACAATATGCTCGAACAAAAGTATCAGCCATTTGCAATAACTTTAAACACAGGTAAATGAAAATAATTTTGTTGTTAGGTATACGTGTACAGTACCAATAGAGAAAGGAAATATTTTTACAAAATAAATAATTTTGATGTTCATAGTACGAAGTGAAAATTTATAGTTATACCAAACACTTATTTAATGTTACTAGTTTCACATATTTTTGCCGTTCTCTCAGTGTTCGTTTCATACTTTATAGATTTAATTTTGATAACCTTAATAGTAATGTGGATTTTAATGGCTAGCATTCATAATTTTATCATAAAAAAAACTTCCTTTTTAAAAGATATTTTAAACACGGTTGTATAAAACTACTTTAAAAAGCGCATTTTCTAGTTGCCGTCAATTTTGTGCACGCCGTCTGTCAGGTGTTTTTTCTGGTCATCAAAATTTATATGCTCCCGCCCACTTTATGACTCGCCGGAAGTCGTATAATGTGATTCCCTAAGAACATGTTTACATTTTGCAAGTTGCTATACTTTTGTCCATAATGGATCATAAAAGAATTGTATGGACGCGACTGCATATCTCCGCGTTGTTCATTAAATTTATGATATTTTGAACGTAAGTTTAAACATAAACTTGCTTTTGTTGTTATATTCTACGACTTCAAAGCGAGAGTGAACACCGATGATGACTTCGTCTTTTTCAACATAAAGTTTTTCTTACGGAAAATCATTTTTTACGCCAACAGTACTTATTGAATATTAGATATTTAATAACCAGTTGGTTTCAATAACCAACAATAAATGTCGTTAACGTGACAATGTCAGTGTCCTGAATCTTGGCTTTTATTAAGTCTAACACGGACTTTTCGTAGGCAAAGCGTTTCAACTGAGGTATTACACAGAGGCGTCATTAAGATGGAGGAAAGGGTTTTAATAATCCTGACAACGATTTAATAGGCAATACGAATTTGTCATTTTCAATAATACGAAGAAAAGATATGTTTTTAATTTCTATATTAAAAGTGAAATAGAACAAAAACCATACATAATTCGAAATAAAGTTAAAAGTAGTTCACCTTATCATACATTATATAACTTCATTTAGTGAGTAAGAGCTTTACATCCGTTAGGAGACTGGAAAGGTACGTGTTTTCTAATACTTGGCATACCTTTGATTACGTAAAATGACTCAACCTAATGCTAAGTTGCTCTCAATGGGTTGTTCAAAACAATTCTTCAAAGCATGTTAACTTAACAAATACATAAATTGATGAGCAGTGATAATCACCAAAATGGATCATCTTCCTCGTCCGACTTTTTCTTTGACTTCTTACCGGAAGTCTGCTTTGTAGAAGTTTTAGTTGCTTCAGATTGGTGTGGTTGTGGTGCCGGTTTTACAACAGTGACAGTTCTCTTTCCTTTTTGGCCCTTCTTACTGTCTTTATTGCTTGCGTTTGTAGATGTCTTAGGCACAGGTTCCGCCTCTTGCATAGCATGGACAGTATTAATAGGTTTTTTACAGCATACATTGTAGACAATGATGAATGTGATAATTGAAAAGATGATAACGCCACCTAAAATTGCAATAGTGATAACCGTCATCTGTCCAAGTCCAAACAAGTATCCCGAGATTTTATCTAAGACAGTACAACCGGCCTGAAAGTAAACAATTTGTGGCAATTATTTCATGCATATCTAGGACAAAAGATTGATTGATTGTTGGATGCTTAACGTCCAGTGGCAAATATTGTATGCATGTTTACAATGAATTCAATAGGTAAGACACGTTTGTGCGTTTTTAAAATATGGACACCATTGAGCCGTTTAGTCTTCAATTGGTCACGTTTTGGGGATTGAACACGTTCGGGCGTTTTTAATAAAATGGACACAATTGAGCTTTCATAAAAAGGACACGTTCTGGCGCCCTTTAGCAACTAGATATGTTTTTGCAGTTAGTGACGTCAGATGGACACGTTTGTGGGAATTGGACACGCTTGGGGAGATGGATACGTTTCTGAGTGTTAAATTTATACTTCAAATTTTAATACATTATGCAATGAAAATTGTTTTATCTTTTTTATATCATTTGTCTATTGTAAACGACAAAACAGGTGGCGTTTCTGGTTGTTTAAAATTTATTCTGAAAGATAAAATTGCATTATTGTCATAATGGATAGTAATATAATTTAGGCTGCAAATTACTTTTTGAGGAGATTTTTTATTGAAATGAATTATTTTCTCGAATCAAAATACCTCATCGATATGGTATGCTTTCATAAATGATAAAAAGAAGAAAACAATGAGGATTTTGTTGTACATTATATTTTACTTTATAATTTACACCTTTCTTGATGGAAACATAATAGGAAAGGCCGGGAAGGGGGAGGTATTTCACTTTATAATTTACATCTCTCTTGATGGAAACAGAATAGAAAGGGGGATATTTCACTTTATAATTTACACCTCTCTTGATGGAAACAAAATAGAAAGGGTGAGGTCTCATGTAGACGGTTTAATCTGGACACGTTGATATAAGTATACCGTTAGCAAAAAAAGAAAAAGTCCGTAATTGTCAATGTCAATAGGTTTTTGATTTGATTGATAGCTTTGTTCATTTATTTCTGCCTACTTATGACGTTTACGCTTTAGCATACGGCCAGTTTTCTTTCACTTTTTTTTGTAAACTTGGACCATTCAGGCCTAGAAAATTTGCCTAAATGGTGAAAGCCGCATATTGACCTCTATAGAAGTGTATTGTTGGTGTTGTCAAGATGTTGTCACGTTGGTGTTTATACCACGTGATGATAAGATCTTCTATAGAAGTGTATTGTTGGTCTTGCCAAGATGTTGACACGTTCGTGTTTAACATAGCCAGAAATTGGTAGTACTTTTGCTAATTAATATTCATAATATGTAAATGAGAATTGTACCACGTGATAATAGTTTGAACTGGACTGGCTTGATATCATTAAAATCTTTAAAACACGGATATTATAGGTTGCCCGTCACAGAGTCCTTGTTTATAATCACTCTGATATTTCCGTAAAGTTGTCAGGCGGTCAAAATCAAAACAATGAACACGAATTTAGTGAATTTTTCGTGTTTTCGTGAGTTTATTCTTCTTGAAATAGGGGCATTTTAACTTTACGTGGGAACCTAGAGTTCAACGACTACATATACAAGGTTTGGACTTGCTTATTCTTTGGACATTCAAGTTTCAAGTTTCATCCCCGCAACCTGTTTTTGTAATGACCTTGTTAGCCAATTTTCAACACGAAGTTTGCAAATTTGACGTTTCAGCCATTTTAGCCTGTATTTTATACTGCAATGTTAAAAGCCTCTCGCTTCGATTTTTAAAATAGCTCAGGAAGCTTGATTTTTGCAACGACAGTCATTATGTTTCGTTATAATGGTGTATATTGTTGTGTATATTTATTTTCTGTCCCCGCAACCCGTCTATCACTTAAATTAAAGTTAAAACAGACTTTTTTTTTCAAAATTCCCTATCATTTCAATATAATTTCCGTGACCCGTATCCGATTTCTTTGGTATAATATTCAAATAAGCAAAGTGGTGTTGATTTCTGGATATGAACCACATGTTGATAAAATCTTTTATAGAAGTGTATTGTTGGAGTTGCCAAGATGTTGTATTGTTGGTGTTGCCAAGATGTTGTTTATACCACGTGTTGATAAGATCTTCTATAGATGTGTATTGTTGGTGTTGCCAAGATGTTGTCACGTTGGTGTTTATACCTTTCTTTCTTTCCAAATCTTCACATCCTTTGTAGGACAACCACACCGCTACACTATCTGTTCGGCATGTAGAACAAAACCCACCACCATGAATGAAGAAATATATGTACACTCTATTTTGAATAATACTATCCTCCACCAATATATACAAGTTCACTTTTGTAGTTGCTCGCATAACTTGTTGTGTGTACTCTTAGTTGCATTTAAAATTCATAGGCTAGTTACTGGACATATTTACAGGGGAATTATTTATGTTTACGTGGTAAAATAGTTCATACGTAAAAAGAAACGTTGTGAAATAATTACTTCAATCAGATTCGCACTCTAAAATCTAAAATCTAAGATAGTTCGCCTTAGAATCTAAAAAGTCGGCTCATTGAGCTTATTGTCTTTATATTCACATTGTAAAATCTACTTAAATCACTTGTACTCCGCGCATTGAGCTTGTCTTTACACATCATAAGTCTAATAAAATTAAAATATTCACCTTATCTATATTAGCACAATAAAGAATAAAATGACTTTAAAAGGTAAAAGATATCGTCTCGAGTCTGTATTGGCACCGGCACACCCATATTACGTATTAATAAGCATAATGTTCTTTGCACGCATGGGCATAATACTCTCATGAGCATTTGACATTTATGATGTTATACTATGTGTTCGACCTATTTGGAGTTGACTGCCCTACATCCCAGACCCCACCCTCCCATAGACCATGACCAGGATATTTTCCATTCAGCTATGGTTGTAGTAAGAGTTTACATCTGGCACTGTGTATAAGGAATATAAGACGTCTTGCTTGGTGTTCTATCTTTGAGACTTCTTCATTGTTTAGTCGAAGTTGTCGTTGTACCATGGTTACGTCCATCAATATCTGTATTTTAAACCCTTCACTTAGGGACTCCCATAACCACGTGTTGATAAATATAGATTCTACCACTGCATCGAGTGTGATACGATATTTATCCACTCGAGACAGTTAAATTTTCAAATTTAAAACGCGAGGCTCGCCGAGCGTTTTAAATATTTAAAATTTAACTGTCGAGAGTGGATAAATATCGTATTACACGAGATTTGGTGGTGGAATCTGTTTCTCTAATGATTTTCAAACAATACGCAGGCAAATTTATTATCTTTTCGAATGATCTGCAAAAAGATGTGCTCTTTCTATATATGTGACGTCATCAGGCATGGTCGACTTTTTTCATGCCGTCACAATAGGAAATTCAGAGAAAAGCAAGAAAATTCGACGTCATAATCGGATTTTAACCAATGAAGAACTGAGATCAAACGAACCACACGTTGATTAAATTTTTTTTATACAATGGGTGCAGAAAGGGATAAATTGACGAAGAATTAGAGAAAATCTTTTATAGAAGTGTATTGTTGGAGTTGCCAAGATGTTGTCGCGTTGGTGTTTATACAAGGTGTTGATAAGATCTTTTATAGAAGTGTATTCTTGGTGTTGACAAGACGTTGTCGCGTTGGTGTTTATACCACGTGTGGAGAAGATCTTCTAAAGATGTGTATGGCTGGTGTTGCCAAGATGTTGTATTGTTGGTGTTTACAAGATGTTGTCGCGTTGGTGTATAAACCACGTGATGATAAGATCTTTAAACTGTGCAAAGAACAATAAACATTAAAAACTATTTGGGCACTTACGATGTTGTCATTTTCATCTGTACCATCCACACAGTGTGGTACTGTATCACACTTCAGATTCGTAGGGATACATCTACAATTTATTAAATGTAGTGAAAATGTGTAGAGAACATGTTTTAAAAAAGATAACAAAAGAAAACATTCTAAGCCTTCTACAACAAATCATGACAAGAAAGCCAGAAAGAATGATTTTTTTTCTTTTACGAATATCAAAAGGATATTCAGTAGTATGACAGAAAGAACATGAAGATGCATTAAGTTTATAAAACTTTTTCACAACGGATTTGTTGTTATGACCCCCTTATATGTCCATATCATTTAACCAATATTAACATATCATTTCAATAAAAATTCTAAGGTCGAATTTTGAATAAAACGTAATTTAAAGTGGAAAAATGTAAATCAAATTAAATAAAATAAACGAATGAATAAAGAAAAAATAATCCAACTAATAATGACTTACCTGTTTGTATCACATTTAAATTCGTTGCTTGAGCAATTATCGGCCTCACGAAATGCTGTAACGAGCAACTGGAAACCGGAAAAATGGTTTTGACTGTTTGTGTAAAACTTTAACTGCACCTCTGATGAAGCGGATACAAATGGACTTTGACCTGTCAGAAATAATGCAATCTTGTTTTAGACATACGACATAATAAAAATCAGCACAGGGGGTCGGGGTGGGGGGAGGGTGGTGAGTGTAGTTAAACTAAATGATGAGTTAGGTTAATGAGTAATGAACGAAACCGATAGCCATTGGTCTTCAAGAAATTAAGAAGTGAGAAGTAAACAATCAATTTACCCCCCCCCCCCCTCCTCCACCCTCATGACTTACGAGAGTTTTTTGTGAAATTAGTCGCTGTGTCGCTCATCTAGGTCTATGTGTGCATCTTCAACAATGGACACTCTTCAGAATAGAATTCATGAAAAAAATCTGTTTTTGTTGAACTTGTATTGCTGATCATTTTTCTGTTAACAGTTTCTCTCTATCTTCTTTAGTTTTTGCCCAAAACATAGAAAAGGGTAAAAATTCGCCATTTAAGGTAAATCCCTCCCATGTTGGTTGACAGGCGAGATCATCGGACACATTTTTCAAAACTAAATACCCTTATAAAGATTGTGGCCTGAGTAGTTTCAGATGAGAAGATTTTTGTAAAAGTTAACAGACGACGACAGATGACGGACGCCCAGGTGATGAGAAAAGCCCACTTGGTTCTTTTGGCCAGGTGAGCTAAACAACTTACCCAGAAGTGTATTGAACGAAATATTCTTTTTTCTGTTTGAGTTGCCACTTCATTTAAAATGACAGACGACGTCATTCTATGTCTGTACTGATTTCCCACCTCATAAAACCGATGATGATGTATTTGTTTCGATGGTACTTGGACCAAAACGAAATCATCAATTCATCAAAACTTTGAACAACCGGGTTCTGACATCAAATCAATCAATAATTTCTCGAACTCTTGCTAATTATATCGATCATCTTTGGTAGAAGGAAAAGTTATTAAAATCTGAGAAATCAATTTTCGTACATTTATATTAGATAGCCGCCATTTAGGTGAACATTTAAATTAACTCGATATTAACGAAACTTTGCTGTACATTCGATATAGAGTAATGCCTTCCCATGTTTATTTAAGGAATGACTGTAATATTGTTTCTGTCTATGAAGAAATTACGTCAAAAATGTGGTGCACACTGAATAAACCGCGTAGCGGATTATTTAAAAGTGTGCACCACAATTTTTAGGTTATTTCGAATAGACAGAAAAAAAAGTACAGTCATTCCTTATAATTTAATTCTAAATTCCATTTTAAGGAGTAAATCAAGAAAAAAACGTTGATGATGTCACGGTCACATGACAAAATTATGTCTATGAGCTGATAGACAAAAGACTTTCCGCCAATCAGAAGACTACCTCCAAAATTAATTTATATGAACATAGAGCATGATATTTATACCGTTTCAAAAAAATGTTTGCAGTTACTAAAAGCAAGTTCAAAATACTTAATGAATAAAAATAGCACTTGATAAATTGTGAACATGTTATAAACGAATCAAATAAGTTAGAATATACACAATGATATCAATATAGAATATACAACATACGTACATAAATATAGAAAACGTTATTTAAATTCGGCATAGTATAAGATATATAACCATAAGGTCTGGAGAGTTTGTTTTTTTTACTGACAATGCAATTTACTGTAATGTGACCTTAATATATAAATATAAATTAACATTCTTACCTGTACTTCCGCAAACTGTCAAATCGGCAGTAAGTCCGTTAGTGTTTTCCATCGAGCACATGTTAGAGAGTGTTGCATTATCATCTGAACAGTTGTTAGCTACGGTACAGTTGTCTAGTGAACAGTTGTTTGCCGTTGTGCAGTTGTCAGTAATAGAGGCATTATTATTGATTGTACAGTTCGTGTTATATAAATTAGGGGACGTGGTGGTGTTTTGGTGGTCAAATATCTTAAGTCCATCCAGACATTCATTTCCTACTGCATTTTCCAGTTCAAATTCTAAAAATTTTATCAAGACTTTCTTCCCTGTAGGTAAAAACATATACATGAAAATGCAATATATTTGTCTTAGAAAGAAAGCTATATGCGGCATTCTGTTACTGATACTTGCGTAATATCACATAAAATTATCATAATTTATACCTTTTTCCTGGGAACTGCCTTAAAACAGTATTAACTAAAAAACACTTTACAAAAACCGGGTGGTAATATCTTTTTTGTTTAAAAGTTTTGCTATTATTAAGTACTAAAATATGAAAATTTGACAATCCAAAATATCTCAATTCGGTGGTTGTGATGTAGGGGAATAGTATCCAAATTACAAAACATATTTCAAAATACATTTATTTTAAATATTTGTTGAACGTCAAAGTGTAACAAACCAGGCGCGAACCATGAAACTCTGTGATCTACTGGAGTATACGGATCGAAAGTACTTTGGCGTATTCGTTCTGTGTAATTTGGTCTTGATAAAAATACTGTTCATTCCCATTTTTTTCATGGAGTAAAACACTTGTGCTGTCCTATCGGCCATTGAACGTTGTGACATTGACATTGACATATCCATATTGACATTTTAAACAGTTGACCCCAATACGGTAATCGGCCTTTTTTATGCTAAACCTTTGAATTCTTATTGTACGCATACTCTGTTATTTTTTTTTATTTGTATAGATTTACAACAGACAGAGATTTTCATTATTTGTGAGCAACAAATTGAAATTAAGAAATTATCAAGTCTATGAACAACTAAGTTTTGTTTTATGTGTTATTATTTCATATCTTGATTAAGAAATATTTATTATAACAAAGCGTGTTTTGTGCGCATCCCGGCTTTTATTTTTTATCGTGACATAGTGTCCTCAATAATTCTTAGATATATAATACGGTGAGTTTAAATTGATAAATTACTAACTCGAGTTTTTTAATACATAACGGTATTATACCTGTCCCAGCGTTGAATTTAAGCTCACAGTTCTCGTTCGCTCCGTAATTTATGATACTTCCAAGTTGATAAGCTCCAGTATGAGACCTGATATACACGTCTTCTTTGTTATTGATTGTTTCACCACAATTACCCAAACCACCACTGTCCATGAAATAATCGGGAATGATATTCAAACAACACGAGGAACCAAAATATGTCGTTAGGACAATGACAAACGTGGAAAAACTTCCTACCGACATGTTTTTTTTTCAAGTTACACTGATCGGCAGTGCATAAGCTCAATCATGACGTGTAAATGGCGCGAGTAATATTCTTGACGTTACGCGCTATGTAAGACAATGCATGACGTTAATATATTGGCATCATACAAATGAATCCAACAAAAATGTTTGCTCATCAGTGAAATACAGTCGTATTACATCAAATAGTAAAAATTGGCATGCAACTTTGGCTCGTTGAACTATAACTGTAAATCGAAAAATAATGCATTTATCTCTTTCAGTATTTGAAATATTACTGATTGAATTCTTTTAGAATATGTGAACATTTGTATAGAAAGCACATAAAATCGGCAAATAACGTTCTTAGATTTATCTTAAAATGAACAAATCTACAATTTCAAATCCATACTTTTTCTTAAAAAAACTCTATGTTGTTGATACATAATACCCGTTTTAAGGATGTAATGAATTGTCTTGGTCTGTAATATGTCTTATCGTAGGATGAATTTTCAAAGCTTGTCATTATGCCAACCTTTGTTAGTATTTTTTGCGGGAAATGTAAACAAATATCATGCATCATCGGAACATACAAATATACTCATGCTATTCCCAAAGACTTAATCAGCAAAGTCATATTCGATCATGCTATTCATATATTTAGACGCATGCGTACTTGTGTTGTAAAAGATGAATAAATCGAAATCTCCGTTTAGGAAGAGTGCCACATTTCGTAATGATCTCCAACCCGAGCATTCTCAATCCAAGGAAATAACATGGAGGCCAACTTGCTTGCTTTCTAGAAAATAAGTAATTTCACTAAAATGGACGTTGTTTCTATTTTGATGCTAATTGATGGTAAAATTACTTCCCTTATAAATAGACGATATTGACCGATAAAATATTTTAAGACGCATAATTTCTCATCGGCAGATAACGTACTTTAACCTTGCGAGCGCTCTATGATACGATATCGATTAAATTTTTTTAACTTTACCTGCACTACAGATTTTTGTAAAACTTGTTTGTATATTCTTCTGTATATTTTATATTCCACAAATAGCGAATAGAACAGGACGGTCAAGTGGACTACGCATCATTTTTGTCTGTCAAAAGTCAAGAACTGCGTTATTCATATTTTAATGTTGTCTGCGTTCCTTTGCTATCTATGGGATTTGGTGTTAACGGCACAAAATTAATTCACAACTTTTCAGGCTTCCGATTTAAAGCTTGACGTTTATATCGACACTAGTCTATTGTAGAAACCATAGGTTGATCTCTAGCTTGGTTTCTGTCTCATTAACGTATACCCAACTTCTCCTTCCATTCATACTGGAAACTAGCACTTGCACTCAGCACAGTTAACGAAATATTTTCGCATTGATAAAAAAAAAAATCCTGAACACTAAAGCTAATAAAATTAAACTAAATAGATGAAACAGACGTGTTTTGGTTAAAATAAATCAAAACATAACTAAATTGTATTATTACACTTCATGTCGAAATGCGGGATTCTGATTGGTTGATACGAGGAAGACAATTTACTTTATTATATTTCATGTCAAAATGCGGGATTCTGATTGGTTAATACGTGGTAAACAATTTACTCTATCCCATAGCAAATACTCTATTACCCTTCACGGAGACGCTTGATCATTTGTGCGCTTTTTTAAATAGGGATGACTGTTATGTACAAAACGTCATAGTTTATTACTTTGAATTTGAAATTTAAAAGACAGTAATAACAGAACATTCAGTATAATAAAGTAAACAACACATAGTTGAGAGGATGATAGAGCAGATTGTTACCCCTCGAAAAGGCATTGTCAACCTTGGCTTCGCCGCGGTTAACAATGTTTTCTCGGGGTAACAATCTGCTCTATCACCCTCTCAGCTATGTGTTATTCATATATTGTTACATGTATACATTTATGGACACTTAAGGTCCTACATCATGTCGATACTTATTTGGCATTGTACTAGATCATGCTTTTCTCCGACTGTTAATACGTCTTTATTATTAATCCGTGGACGTGTACTGATATATATATTATAGTCTGGAAATTGGTTTATTTATTAGTTGAAGTTGAACTAGTTTTTTTGAGTATTTACAAGTAATCTTATGTTGGTACTTTATGTTTTTGTCTATTTTGTAAAGTTTTTTTCGTTGTGCGGCGAAGTGATCTGATGAGTTAAGCCCTTTTTCGTTGATTTTTATCGTTTGTTCTGATGTTGTGCTGTTACACTACCGACCCAGGTAAGAGGAGGGTTGAGCACTCGCAAACATGTCTAACCCTGCCATATTCTTTACGGAGCCGGAGAAATAGGTAAAAGTCTATATTGCGCAAATGTTCAATATAAGCAGCAGTGTCATGTGGCGAAATGTGTTCCAGATGAGGTGCCGGATTTCAAACGCGTGTATGAACGTATTGAGAATTGGAGATCGTGTTTTATATCTAAAGATGTCCCGAAGAAAATTAGAGAGAATGAGATTGCTTTTTTCTATAGGACAGACTCCAGAACAATAGCTTGTTCACGCAAAAGAGTGAAATAAAACTGAAATTGCTGATATAAAAATGGCTATTGTTGAAGATGCAGGTGTCCTCGTCCCAAATATGAAAGGAATATTTGCCCCTAAATGTTAGGGAAACAAAAAACCCCAACATATTCACGAAAATAGGTGTGCGGATATAATGTGTAAAGCATTGAAGAACTGTATTACCCTATTCCTATAGGAAAATTATAAATAAGTAGACTTTAGATCGAACATAAACGACTTGCTATGTCTATCCTCACAGACAGATCTCATGGTATATCTAAAAACATCTAAATTAAGGTTAGATAGTGTTATCCATTAGGCTTCCTTCTTCAGACTTTTTGTTGTAGTAGATTTAAACACTTTTAACTTTAATATTTCAAGTTCCCAATAGACCAGGACAATTTTTGACTGAAATTTTATGATTCACTTTTATATATCCTTTAAGGTTTTATAGTGTGTTTGAAGTGCATACAATGATGCCATCGGAATTATTGTATGACTATAATTAATATTTAAATGTTACATTATTTCAAATCAAACAGACATATATGTAAACAAATCTGTTACATCACTTAAATTGTTTTAATGACGACAGGCTATAATAAAACTCTGACCGAATCGCATAGAAAAACATGTATCACTGAATTATTGAAACGGAAACCGACTGTATACAATATTCAGTATGATGTTGTGATAAAAAAATTGTCACTTCATTTTATATATATTCTATTCTAGTTCTGCATGTGATTAGTATTTCCTAAAAAAAAAAAAAAAATCCGGAAAGAAATTTTATAAGTGAGTTAATAATTAATATACATATATACTTTTCATAAAAATATGTATGGTGAAATAATTGTTATTTATATTCACAACAATAGGCAACAAGTAAAAGTTGCAATCTAAAACACCACATTTTCCATTTAATCATTTTTAAACATTCATGTAGGACCAACACTTGGTTAACTGTAAAACTGAGACATCATATACAAAAGGGACAATCTAAATTCATTAATCGAAGAGAAAACCATGACTTTGTGGTGCTCATGGTAAGTCCAAATTCGGTGATATGCCTAATTCAACATTGTCACCATCAAGATATTCAAAGAGGACGGGATTGTGGAGATATATACTCCTCAAAGATTACAAATTCAAAACTAATTATATATTTGAATGTTGTTTTTATTGGCATAAATATTTATGTTTTTATCAGTAAATTAAAACCAAACTAGATATTACTGTTATATACATATGCACATTCACGGTTCTACAATCTGTCGATACCTATATTTTGGCATTGCACACGGTCTTTTGTTTCTCTGACTGTTAATGAAATCTTAACACTAATTCCATTGGATATTGGATGTGTACTGATTGATTTTTTAGTCTTAGATACACGATTTTTTCATTAGTTATTATTGGGTTTGAACTAGCTGTCAGTAACAGTTACTCCAAGTACTCTCAGATCTGTACTTTGTGTCGTTTTTGTTGTGGGGGTGTATAAATCCCTGACATGCCCGGTCTGTGATTTTGTTAGTTGTTTTTTTGCTTTGTATCGATCTGATGAGTTAAACCTTTCAAACTGATTTTAATAATTTGTTTTTATGTTGTACTGTTACACCACAGTCAGAGGTTAAGGGGAAGGTTTGGCGCCAGCAAACATGTTTAACCCTGCCGCATTATATATGTGCTTGTTCCAAGTCAGTAGCATGCAAGTTAGATTTTGTCGTTTGTGGCTGTATATCAAATTTGTTTTCCGTTCACTGTTTGGTACATAAATCAGGCCGTTACTTTTCTAGTTTAAATTGTTTTATATTTGTCATTTTGGGTCCTTTTCTAGCTGACTGTGCGGTATGGGTTTTGCTCATTGGTGAAAGCCGAAAGGTGATCTATAGTTATTGACTTCTATGTCATTTGGTCTCTGGTGGAGAGTTGTCTCATTGGCAATCATACCACGTCTTCTCATTTTTATATCCATATGCAGGCGCTGCTGGAATATTGCTATATGGAAAGAAAATCACAACCGTAGAGCTGAAACCATCTTTGGTCATGCCATCCACCCCTTCCGCCCCGATAGTCCAGTGAAATGGGAGGGGGGAGGGGGCCCTGAAATGACTATGTACTATATGACTAAAAGAAACTATTGAAAAACTAACTAAAACCATCTTAGATCAACTTTGACTGAAGAAGATAAATCCTTAGTTTTTTTTTTATATTATCTAAAATAATCAACGGAAAATTTAAAGAAGTGCATGTTATATAAAGTCATGTCCGTGTCGATGAACTGACCATTGAGCTAATGATACTCTCGGATAACTAAAATTCTACCAGGAGCATTATCGACCCAGTGTTAGATAAAATTAACATCCAAAAGGTTTTTCTGAATTGACCAGATGCAATTGTTCGCTCAAAACCAAATATTTCAAAGCCAAGGATGTAAAAATACTTGTGGAGATTTATGACCAAAAGGGTATTTGTTGCCTAAAACA